CATCATTGACCATCATTAGATATCATTGACCATCATTAGACATCATTCACCATCATTAGACATCATTCACCATCATTAGACATCATTCACCATCATTAGACATCATTCACCATTACTGACCATTATTAGGCATCATTCACCATCATTGACCATCATTAGACATCATTCACCATCACTGACCATCATTAGACATCATTCACCATCATTGACCATCAGTAGACATGATGATGGTCAATGATGTCTAATGATGGTCAATGATGTCTAATGATGGTCAATGATGTCTAATGATGGTCAATGATGGTGAATGATGTCTAATGACGGTCAATGACGTCTAATGATGTTCAGTTCAATGACGGGCAGTGATGGTGAATGATGTCTAATGACGGTGACTGACGTTAAATTATGGTCAATGATGTTGAATGGCGATGAATGACGGTGAATGATATCTAATGACAGCGAATGATGTCAAATTACACAATTGCAAGAAAATACATAGTCCGAATTGGCAGTTCAGTGTATATAGAACATGAACGTATTACCGGATTTTTTCTCTTGAAGGGCTTTTGTCAGGGGCGTAACCAGGGATCTTGCAGGGTGAGTACACGGGGAATGGAAATGGAACTATGTCGAAACTAACAGCCGTCTKGAGAAGGAGTATTCCAATGATTTGCAGAACCAAAACAATAATCAAATAATGGGTGAGCGATAGTTAAAAATGCTACCATATGCAGATGGAAAGAGGGTTCAAAAAATATGAATGAGTCAGCGGACCTTCAACTTTTGCGCGGGAGGTGGGGGGAGGGGGGCGGTACACGTGAACCAATGCACCCCTTGGTTACACCCATGAGTCAGACTCGTGCCCAATCGTCATTTGTTTCGCGTTTTTTTTGCGCGCGGTGGCTTTTGGCTTGATGCACCGGGAACTCACTAAATCCTTCCCATCAACCACAACGTGAGATCAATAAGATAAGAGAAGCGACTGGGTACGAGTCTGCCCCTGAGTCTTAAACATCATGAAGACCAGTTGAATAACATTTCTAAACGAATTTTCATACAAATTRATATCCGCTCGTTTCACAATAAATAGTTCCCGAGTGAATTCATGCATATGAAAAAGTCAGATGAAATCAATCAGAACAAATTTACTATGATGACGTTCCGTTTAGTTTTACTAAACGCATCCCACATGGAAAGGAATGAGTATGCGTTCAAAACCATCAGCGTCACAATCAAAATGTTGRGTTTGCTGGTCATAGCAAGGGGTTAATCATCTAAGGTCTAGGGRCCGACTAACCTCTCCCTTAGGCTGCGGCCGAGCTTCCTGATCAGTCTGTAAATCTTCGRATAGCGGTGTCGGGGCCGAAATCTCCGGCGTAGCCGTAAATGCTTCGCGCTGCCAAACGACGGTTCAGCACTCGATGTCTGGAAGTATGGTCCTACTTTAATAAATCAAAAAGTAAAAATCCTAAAATAATTTTTCCATAGCAGGTGAACTTTAAGAGATCAATTCAGGGCTGTTGCCAGGGGACTTGCAGCACTGGGTACACAGGGAATGGAAATGAACTACGTCTGAAATAACATACAGCCCTCTTGAGAAGTGATATAGCATTCCAAGGACTTGCAGAACCAAAATGAATAAAGAAAATAAAGGTGAATGATCGATGCAATAACCAACCTACAATTTGCAGAAGCAAAGGCAAAAAATCCAATAATGGGTGAGCTATACTTTCATTCCACTGTTAGAAAGACCAAATGAAAGCTGTCACAAATAGTTTACTCATTTGAACTAGCACGGCATTGCGTGGTAATGCAAGGTTTGTTTATTTGAGCGACGGTTGGTTATAGTTATCAGGAAGTTAGTTAGTTAGCAGGTTACCATAACGGGGTAAGGCATGGGTATAGAATCGTCAGCCTTTCCAACAAACTCATGATRAAGCAATATTGTGAGGTAAATATTTGCACCCTTGCCATAGGTATATGGGTGARGTATGCAAGTCCAAAGAAAGGGTGTGCTTATATATAATAAATATTCATTCATTGCGAAAAACAAAATCTTTAAACCTCAGAAGAAAGCGGGACAAAAAACTTGGCGTTGTACGATGAACCCTGGCGTTCTACATCCCGGACCTTGCATATGCCCCTTAGTAATACTCTGATGCGCGACTAAATAGGACTGTTTTTGTGCTCGAGTAATGAACGACACTTGGAGGCAAGAATGGGTCTATTCGTACTTTTATTGGACAATTGTGTTAAATATTTCACTAACAGCTGAATTAATAATCTAACTCTAGATGACAGATGAAGTATTTTACTGATTTTGTACAGAACATATTGAACCTGCCCTATGTTCGATCATCATACGCACAGAATTAGTTATTCGATAGAATCCATCAACACACGCGAGAAGTTGAACATGGAAGGACTCGCCCTCCCACGTATGCTGGACTATATTTAAGCTTCTTTGAAGATATAATCCATGTGGGACTAGGAAGTAAGAAATTTTACACTCATTTGGGTCCCAAATTCATTCTTGTCCAAACCAAAGCAGAAATACGTTGCATGATTGTCTCTAAGTGTTCGATACTTTTCRGTGTGACCAGCGTGTGTGCGTACTGGCGATTCTTCCTGTATACAGGGCGTGGAAAAGCTTGGAACTAGAGCCAATGGCTTCGGCTCCAACAGAATTTCAAATTCGAGAAGCGTGCGCACATGCGTGCGAGTGCTGCATTCGCCAGTGATCTTTACGAGGGGGAAACACTACTATTAGTATAAGAGAATCCATCACTGACCATCATTAGACATCATTGACCATCATTAGGCGTGCGAGTGCTGCATTCGCCAGTGATCTTTACGAGGGGGAAACACTACTATTAGTATAAGAGAATCCGGAAAAAAGTCTAAATCAAGGCGAATTATAACTGATTCAAGACCTAAGCATCGTGATGATGTCAGTATAACAAGTCAGGTTGACTCGACTCGAGTAAGTGGAAGTACAACTCTTCAAGTAAAAGATACACTCTATAGACCGCGGACCATTCAAAAACCTATATTCCTATACATGTTCTAGAACTATTTTATAATATGCAACAATTCAGTATTACTAAAAACTGAGGAGCAGAATAATGCAGCGCGATTGGAGCAAGATCAACTTGCTCGAAGTAGATAATTCTAATCACTCTCCTAACAACTGAAAGACTCGCAATAATATTATATGGAATCAAAATGACAGGGGCAATAACAACAAATTAACTATACGTAAGTACCTCAAGAATATACTAACATGGTAATGGTTAGAGCTGACCTAACTAGAATAACAACAATGAATCCATAGTATGTAACAATACTGACAGAACCACTGAGCGTTTCCCTATCATAAAAAATAAATTGTCAAGAAAAATGAAGCCATGAAAGCTAAGAAGCCGAACCGCTGGATGGGTCGCATTGCAGTAATCGTACAATAGAGGGGTCGCTCTTGGCTCCTTCGATGAACTCGTCCATTGACAATTTACCATCCAAGTTTTTATCCATCTGTCGGAAGATCTTGTCGGTTCGTTTTTCTGGTGTACTCTCATCTTCAGGCATCTTCATGACAGATCCTACCATTTTGTAGATAGCTTTRACGATCTCCAGCATCTCTTGTCGTGAGATGTATCCATTGCCGTCCAGGTCGTACATATTAAATGCCCACTTCAGCTTCTGCTCTAATTTACCACGAGATGTGACTGAAAGAGCGCAGATGAATTCTCGGAAATCGATCGTGCCGTCGCCGTTCTTGTCGAAGGTGCGGAAGACGTGCTCGGCAAACTTCGACGCATCTCCGTAAGGGAAAAAATTGCCATAGATCTTCTTAAATTCTTCTACAGTAAGGTGTCCGGACGGGCAGTCTTTAAGGAATCCTTTATACCATTCCTGAAGTTCTTGCTCATTAAACTCAGTATTGGCTCGCAGATCCTGAAGGACTTCAGGTTTAAGTTTGCTGTTCTGTTTACCCATTTATAATATTTTCCTGAAAGACGATAAAAAATGAGAAAAAAAACATGAAATTATGAGCAATTAATTTGCGGCAGCTTTCGTTAATTCTGCAGCACACGCCTTACTTTTCGTAGTGACTACGAAAAAAATCCATATTCTTTAAAAGRGTTAAGGATGTGCCGATATAAGGAAAATGTTATCCAAGTGCACAAGTTTAAACCACTTTTGAATTAATAAACCGAAAAATATCGGACGAASAGTTTTGTCGCGTCACCAAGGCATGGCCATGAAAATGAGAATTRCGCACAATTTGAAATATTGCTGCCTCTAGCTGGCACCCGTTCTCTACGTCCTAGTCTGTCACTTTGAGTGCYGACTTAAATTGGAGCACGTATATTTGTTCTATGCGATAAGGACTGCTAGGTGGTGGTGTTAAACATTCTCAAAATTACTAGCATTGACCTAGTTGAAGTGGTATCCAATTGAATAAGTTTTTCCATACTTCTGACCGCGAGGTAGCTTCACACTATTGAATTAAGCTCTTCATCTTTATTTCACTGAAAATGACGACTAAAATAGATAAGTGTTAAACGACCGAATAAAGACTATTGATTAAACTGAAAAATTCAAACCAGTTATATATTCTCATAGCACAGAGTGCGCGCAACTTGTTTTACACGTTTAAAGAGTCCACCTGTATAAACACTGGAAATTATACCCCCCCCCCCCCAAAAAAAACTCGTTCGTAGCAATAATGCTATCATTAAATACAACAACACTGCGCACTAACTCTACCTCTAAGTTCCTCAGCGAAGCAAGTTACGCGCACCATCGTYGAATCAACGGATAATCGTGCGCGCAACTTGTTTTACATAGAATGTTTCAAATCTGAAGAGATACCGGAGTAAAACAACTATTGCATGCTCAATTGATAAAACTAACTCTGCTATCGTCAGTTGAATATTGTGCAATAAAGTAAGATAAAACGAMCGACCCCACGTTATTAAATCATTGACGAACGACACAAAATCACTAATAATAAAACGCTATGCGGAGTGCTTGTCTGACCTAATTTTCGAGTGCCCTTGAACTTCAAGATTCAAAGCGTACATATAAAGAAAATTCAAAATCGAAAAAATATTTCCAAAACTATAAAATTTAATTCGTGCGCGCACACTATTTCAGTGTGAGGTTTGTGGTAACTTCTCTGCGTATTATAAGTTATATTATTCTTAATGTTTCGAACTACCTCCATCAAGTATGCACAAACAAGTGATCATTGATATACGGACCTCCCGTAAAACCACTCGTACTCATGACACATCTGGCTTCCAAAGATTCCAGATTTAAACCAAGATCTAAACCAAACCAATTTGAAACACACCTGTATGACAATAGTAATCTTCAAATGAGCTCCTCATTATTTATAGAAGTGATATCKCTTGCCGCAAGACGCGTCAAAAGCTCAGTGTGCGGTCTAAGKCACGCTACCAGACACAATTTTAGAACAAAAAAAAAACAGGATGAACCTTAGATTAAGAATGGTCAACGTTAATGTCAGTAGTAATGGTTAAAAAGCCTAATATCATCTCTTGAGAGAATGAAAACAAATGACTTTACGAATTCATGCACATGACAAATGCATATTAACTGACAAAAAGTTGGCATGTCACGTGATTAGCGGTTTCAAGATGGCGTTGATTGACAAAGTACAAGATTTTTGCAATATAATCTGATTGTTAAACTGTTGGCAATGACCTGGAGAGGTATTTAGACCATTTAGCCAGAGCCGAGCACTGTCAAACCACCTAGCGACAGATAAACTCAATAATAACATCGAAAAACGACRATTTATGGTTTTAGACAATGCTGAATTATTTTAAGTCTCATTTCTTATCTTTTTCTTCAATTCTTTGTGCAAAAGATTCGAATTCAATATTTCATAATCATATGAATCCGTCCCCTTTATCCTAACAATGCAACCT